GGTGAGCACACACACACACACGTGGGGAAGCCTACACACACACACACTACACACACACCACACACACACACCACACCACACACACACACTACACACACACACACTACACACACACACACACACACACACACACACACACTAGAATTGGGTCCAGGACAAAAAGACTAGGCGTCTTTGGTTTTCAGCCATTGCTAACATCATGGGAATGGTCCTCCATGAAAACACACTCGTTCTCCTCCCACCGTGGCTTCATTCAGTAGTGAGGAGGAGACTGTATTCATTCAAGTGATTTAAGAAGCTAAATTAAGACCAGCCGACTCTAAGTTGGTCTTTTTTTAAAGTTCTTTAATTTTGACGTAAGCATTTATTATCCTTTCCATTTCATAAAACAGTAATTCACATAATAAAAAACTTGAAAAATACAGAAAGGTAAAAGGAAGAAGGAAAAAGTAACCAAAATTATCTAAATAAAGATAGCTGCAGTGTGACCTTGCTGTATTTCCTTGGAGCTTTTTTTCTACACACAGGTTTGAAAGACGTGATTTCCCCCAGTTAGGTTAAAGGTGAGAAAGTGCATCTACAGTTTTCATCCTGCTTTTCTTTCACCTAATTTGATACAATAAACATTTTCCATGCCAATCCAATTATTGACTCTCGTGAACATCATTTTGATAGCGACATAATGTTCTCTCAAGTGGATGCAGAGTTGGTGTTTAACCAGTTTCCTCGTGTTGGAACATTTTAATGGTGTCCAATTTTTCACGATTATAAATTCTGCAGCAATAAAAGGATAACTTTCTCTCCGTAACAGCTTTTCTCAAATCACTGACTTTCACCTTGCAGGGCACTGGGAATGCAGATCAGATCTAAGCTTGAGCAATAGGCTCCACGACCATGATTCTGTGCACGGCATGACCATAGTGAGAGATGGGTGGGGGGCAGCGCAAGAAGGGGAGTGGAGGAGTCGCACAGCATAGTTTATTTTAAAATAAAGGATTTTTTTTTCCACTTTAATTATAACGGTACTGTGTAGTTATCTACAATTTGGAAATACACACGTTCTAAATGTGTTCTGACCTCAGTTGAACTTAACATGAATATTTAAGTCTTGTTGGTCTCCGACCCCACCAGTACACACAGAAAATCTGGTCTCTGACAAATTCCCCTTCCATCCCAGGTATTTCCGGAGTCCCCAAGGGTTACCACCAACCACTGCAGGTCCCCTTTCTGTCATCATTGCTTGGTGCCTCGTGGCAAGCAGAAATTTCCCTACCCCGAGTTTTCTTAACTGAGATCCTGTATTTTGCCTCTCGTAAACCAAGGTTCCGTGGAGACAGCCTGACCACCTAGGGCAAAAAGGAAAAGGAAGGCATTTAGTCACTTCTGCAGCATAATTGGGGTCTCACAGAAGGTTCTCCTGAGCGCCCAGACATCACAGGGCTGGGCCAGGTCGTCCTCTCACTGGACGCACCCAGGCCTTGTCTGGCTTGTTCGCAGCCGTGCCTGGTGAGAGGTGCATTGAATAACTTCACGAATGGCCCCTCTGGCTGGAAATGCACGGAGGCAGTGTGCAGAGGGCTCAGTGAGGTGAGGCAGAGGCACAGCCCAGGAATGCACGGGGCTTGTGGCGTGGAGCAGAATCGTGGCACCAGCCTCTCTCACCACCAGGTGCTCCCTCCCCTCTCTCCACAGCCCGCCCACCCCAGGAGTAAGTGCACCTTCAAGGGCTCCCACAGCACCCTGTCCTGCTCGCTAATGTCATACCATTTACCTCTCCTCCTCATTAATGCTGATCTGGCGTCTGTCCCCCTCCTGGGCACCAAGTGCCATTAGAGCAGAAACTGTGTCTTTTCACACGATTTTTTCAGTGCCCTGCCGGGACTTGGCCTAAGCTTGTGCTCCATGACGGGCAAGGGAAGAGGTGGACAAGACCCTTTAGAAAAGGAATCCTAGTGTCTCCTAGTTGACCACCCGAAATCTGCACCTGGTTATTAAGAAGCTAGACTTTGTACCCAGAGGGTAAAAGCGTATTGATACTGTCAAGTAAGAAGAAAGCACCTCACGCCTTAGAGCAGTCATCCCCAAACTCTGCTGCTCAACAGAATTATTTGGTGATCCTTTAAAACTTCCAGAGTTGGGGTTATACCCCAGATCAATTAAATCCCAGTCCCTGGGGGTAGGACCCACCCACTCATCACTATTTTTTGAAGCTTCCTAGGTCATCCCAACATGCAGACAAGTTTGGTAACACTTCCTTAAATCTTTCGCCTTATCACAGGCCTCACTGAATTAAAATCTATCAAATGAACGAAGAATGATGAACCTTCACACCTTCAGCAAAGACTTATGTGTCCCTTTCTGGGGTCTCAGGCAGTGGCATTCCTCCCCAATCACATTCTGTCCTCTCTGTAAAATTAAAGAGGAGTTTTGAGGGGCCTGGCTGGTGGCGTAGTGGTTAAATGCATACGCTCCGCTTCGGCGGCCCGGGATTCGCAGATTCGGATCCCGGGCACACACCGACGCACCACTCATTAAGCCGTGCTGTGGCGGCATCCCATATAAAGTAGAGGAAGATGGGCACAGATGTTAGCCCAGGGCCAGTATTCCTCAGCAAAAACGAGGAGGATTGGCATCGGATGTTAGCGCAGGGCTAATCTTCCTCACATAAGAAAAAGGAGTTTTGAAGTTCTTTATTTTCCTGGTAGGAGTTTTCATTTCAGTTTTTCCATCTAGATATATAATGCCTTTAAATAAGAGAGTCAAGAAATAGAAACTATTTTTCAAATCAATATCCTTTTTCAACTCATTTGAAACATCCCCTTGATCACAAAATGCCACGCTCATGTCATTCAACACATATTTATGGCACACCTACCACGTGCCAAGCCCTGCTAGATGCTGGGGACACGTCCCTGCCCTCCCAGAGGGTACAGGACAGAAGAACGACAGTGAGCACCTACATACAAATACGTGATCTCAAAACTGTGGTCAGTGCTCTGAGAGAAAAGAATGAGATGCCGGAAAGAATGGGAGGGACCTCATCCAGGTGGGGGGAGTGGGGAGAGTCCTCTCTCTGAAGTAAGAGCAGTTGTATGTGTCTATTAATATGTCTACCTCTTTAGCATTCCCCCCTCCCCGCCGTGGGACGTTTATGAAGACCACAACCACATCTGCCTTACGCATCCCCTTCCTACCTTCTAACTCCTCACAGAGCACTGCTTCCAGATGATCCGCTCGTAGCGCTGGGTGAGCTGGCCCAGCCGCTGCTCCAGCTCCTTGGCGCATGTTCTCAGTTCCTCTGCCGTCCCGGCCTTCGCTCCCTCCTCCAGGTGCCTCCAGTTCTGCAGAAGGCTGTTCACATCCTGCATAAGAAGGAAACCAGCTCCAGCAGCACCCATCACCCGGGCACCCCTGGTCATGGCCTGAGCTGGGCCCTCAATGGCTCTCTGCACCCCTGTGGCCCTCCAGAATGGGACACGGCCTGTGGCCATGAAATTCTTAACCATAGCCGTGAAGCCAGAGTTGGCTTTGGCCATCCGGTAGGCATGAAGTTGCCTGATGCTCTTGATGATGCTGGCACATTTATTAACACACAACCCAGCAGCGTAGACCTCAGACAACTTTATTCCTCCAAGAGCTTCATTCTCCTCTGTCGCTGGAATAGACACCAGTATCCTGGCTCTGTCTCTTGCTGCCGAATTGCTTCTATTTTCTAAGACGTTTGTGAAAATGGTGGTGATGGCGGCAGCTGCCCCCAGGCCCTGCCCAACCGCTGAGAGCATCAGACTCCCTCCTGCTGTCACAGGTGCCAGGGCCAAGCCCAGGATGCTCATGACTCCACAGACAGCACTTGAGGAGCTAGCCACCAGGTTGGTCTTGGTGAGCATCTTGTGGGTTGAGTCAACTTGGTCTGCAATGGTGTTAAGCTCTTTGATACTCTTTTCCAGCTTATGCTTCTGCGAGGGAAAACATAGGAGAAACATTTTTTCCTCCTCTGACAGATTTCCATCTAGCACGGACACTTGCTCACGTCGCATCAGCTCTTCAAACAGGATCTGATACAGCACATTGGCCTCATCCCTGGGGACAATCCACATCACATGATTATTTTTCCAATTCTGGGACAGGTTCCCCAGTGAGGCTAAAAGCTTCTAGGTCATCTGAGTTTTCGAACACACTCAGGGAGCAGGACCCTGGGAATCAAGGTACAATTGGGGAGCAGCAGGACAGAGGGTCCCTCCCCGTGGTCTGGACCCCCAGGTGGCCGAGCACAGTTCCAGCAAGCCCTCTGCTCATCAAGACTGGCTTACGTGTCCATTCACCCATGGACAGCTCTCTTCTAACCGTATGTGGATACTGATGTGATGAATAAAATATGACTTAAAAGTGTTACCGACTTTTGTCACCAAATCTTTTCTTAATAAATATATATGTGCATATATATATAATTTACACATATACAACAGATTGTGAGCAATTCTATTCGGGGAATAAAAGTACTGAGAGCCTACAGAGGAGATGTCTTGGTTTTCCTTTTTTATGTTAAAAAGGGACCTACCTGGAAATTGTGGTTGCTTCTGGGAGAGAATCTGGGAAGCTGGGAAAAAAGGTTTGAGGGAGACTGACTTTTCACCGTTTGCCCTTTTGTTCCTTTTAAGTTTTGCATCATGTGCATGTATTAGAATTATTCCAAAAAAGTTAATAAAATAACCTACACTTCCAAAGAAAAAGGTGGGAGGACCTCCAATGAGACACCAAAATGTCATCTGTTCTATAGGGGAGGGCTCAGTGTTTGTTATTCAGTGTGATGGTGTTGTGTATTTTGGAAACTGAAACTCGATTTCTAACGAAAGGGTGGTCACACGTAGAAACAGCGGATTTTACTCTGTTCACTTGTAAACAGGCAAGTAGGAGAAGCACATAGTCTTAAGAAAAAGTGATGAAGAAGAAAAAATGTACAACTGAGAAAAGTCTCTCCATGAGCTCAAATTTTCCCTATATTTTGGAAAAAAGACCACCATTATTCATTTTTTTGTGGAATCAATTTGCTCCAGCTCCTGGAACACCAGAGTTCTGCAGGGTCTTTGTTTGAGAATCACTGTTCTAAGTAAATTTGTCTTACAGGATTTGGGCTTCCAAAGTGGACACCACTGGACAATGCAGGATGCCGCAGTCAACCTCCTGCAGCCCGTGACAGAGTCTGACTTGTATAACCCTTAAGTTTGTTCCTTTTTATCTCCTAATTGAGCATGTACAACGGACTGGGCATGTGTTTAAGGGATATTGGAGAGTGGATCGACAGGAAAGAAGGCAGGGCTTGTGGGATCACTACACTGGAACCAAGCAGCCCCAAGGCCTCAGAGGAACAGCTGACAGTGGCTTTAGAGCCCTCTGCTCCCTGGGCAAGGCCATCAGCAGCCTCAGGCACATGAGCCAACTGACCCCTCCCCGGGGAAGAAGGAGGGGCCTTCTGACATCCTTCTCCAGTGTCAATTCACTCTTAAGGCTTAGTCAGAGTTTTCTTTGAGATGTCTCTGTACACCAGGAGTTCAGTCCCCTCCAACCTCAATCTTAGAGCTATGGGATGTCAGAATTGGAAGCCTCACCAGGATCATCTGGTACATGGATGGCAAAGAGGCATAAACTCCCTGCCATTGTTGGTAAGCGTGTCTAGACCACTTTCACAAGGAGAAGTGTGATGCCTCATCTAGGGTCTTTGAGAAAGAATGCTGCCGTTGACCCGTGATGTTCTGTAGGCCCAGCACAGAAGGTAAGTGGTGACCTGCCACATTTTCACCATCAATGAGCCCAACCCCCTCTTTCACAGAGGAGAAAGCTGGCCCCAAGGTGGAGGGTGGGGGTGACTTGCCCTGGATTACAATCCAGTTAGTGATGGCATTAGGGTAAGAATCTAGGACTCCAGCTTCCCAGAAGAAAGGAAAAACCATCTCTCTGCCTTCACCAAAGGAGGGAAGATAAATGTGTGCACAGGCACATTGGAAGTGACCCAGTTAACTTAGTCCAAGTTGGCTTCATCAGCCAGCAGCAAATGTAAAGGGTTTTGTTTTGAGCTATCTCAGGATTGATGGGAGCTGTGGGGAGGAATCTAAAGGGTGGAAGAGGGAGGGATGACAGTGCAGAGAGGCTGGGCCAAGGACAGGGATACGTAGAATGGGTTGTTCCTGTCCTGAAAGGGCAGGCAATTTAGTTTGCACAACTGAGGAAGATTTTATAATCTGAGAGCTTGGGATGGCACTGCAACTCCTTTTACAGAACCTTATGGGCACTGAACAAGAGTGAGTACAGCCTATGTCAGGGAGCAGAATCATTATGAGTATAATGCTTCAGCCGAGCTGTCGGAGAGTCTGAGTGCCCAGCCAAAGGCCACGGAAAGGTACATCCCAGGAGTCTGGATCTCAAGGCAAGACCTAGGCATTTTCGTGGCTTGAGCAAGGGTGGAGAAAGGCTGGGAAGGAGTGTTCCTGGATTGGGAGAAATGGAGCGAATTCTGCTTCTAGGATTCTATTGTCCAATAAGCCACATGCCTAGGCATCTAGTCATGTGCTTACCAAAGGTTTTAAATTTACTTTCCTAAGAAATTTTTTTATGAGGATGTGTAAATCCTTTTTTCTTCCTTTGTGCACATCTCTAATTGCAAAGGGAGGTAAATGAGAGAGCGTGACAACTCCTCCCCCAACTTTGTTGGAACACGTTTTTATGTTTCATACTATGCAGATGGCGACAGCACAGCAACAAAATTCGGATATTAACACTCAGATTTGTTTCCTTCATTCCTTCACTCAAATACCGAGGGCCAGGTCTGTGCCACACGTGGTTCTCGATGCTGGGATTATGGCTGTGAGCATATCAGCCCAATCTCTGCCCTCACAGAACTCACATTCTGGTAATTTCTTCCCCAGACATCATTTTTCTAGGATTACCTTTCCAAGCCAGTCATCTCCGCCATCTCCTCCCAAGCCTGTGGATGAAAGAGTAGCCAGCACATTTCTTCTCTAGTCATCTTGGCCCAAAAAGGGTTAACGATGCTCTGGTAAAGTGGACTATCTAATTATAATATCCGGGAATAAAAAAAGCAAAGTTAGAATACATCAAAAATCTTAAGGTCTCAAAAATTTCACATCATTATTCCCTAATGATTTTAACCAAACAATTCAACTATAATGATACCCAATGCTAACTGGGATGTAGTAAAACTGGTGATCTCTTAGGTTTCTGGTGGCAAAGTAGATTGGTGAAAGACATTTGAAATTTTGATATTAAGTCACAAGAGTCTTCAGATAATCATCCAATAACCCAACGATAGGCACAAAGATGATCAGGGCCACGTTATTTATAATATTGTAAACTCAAAAGCAAGTGAGCCCTCTACAATCTACACAATCCTGGCTGGATTGTCAGGTCTCTGCTTAAGCCCTCCTAGAGATGAGTTCATTGGTTGGTGAGTTGTTTGTTTTAACCAGGTAGGTGAAGGTTAGCAGAACATACTACCCCATAAATATGCTGCTTTGATATATTGATTATTTTGAGCTGAAGGCACTTGAAAAACAGCCTACGCAGAGAGGTGCTTTCTCTGAACCTCTCTTATCAGCCTACAGACAGATCCTCCAAAGGGAACTCAAGGGTCATAGATCCCCTCCCCGAGAGGTCCATCAACCAGGGAAGTTGACTCTTACTACAGAAGAGAAGACTAGAAGTCGACACCTCACTCAGACAAACTTTGTCACAAACTACCATGCCTCCCATCTATTCTTCTAAGGGCCCATTCATCTTTCCTAAAAATCCACGACTCCCCTCTAAGGGGACTATCTCCCCACCCCTCTTTCCCTATTAAGATGGTATTTAAGATTGAATTCTAAGCCACCCGTGTGAGTTACTCATTTTCCCCTGGGTATCTCCCATGTGCACGTGTTAATAAACCTATGTTTGTTTTTCTCTTCTTAATCTGCCTTTTATTACAGGTGTCTCAGCTAAGAACTCAGAAGCGTAGCGGGAAAATCACATTTCCTCCCCTACCCAGGCAATGTTTCAGTTACCCTTGTTTAAAGACTTTTATGGTATAGATTCTTTTGTTGCTCAAAAATCACTTTAAGTCTATTTTCAATATAATTTGACGAAAATCACTCCGAATACTGCCACAACATAACTGTCGATTTTATTCATTTACTTCCAGTTATTTTTCAAATGCATGTTCTTCTTCACATGGTTTTTATAACAAACTTTTATAACATAGTGTGTGTTATTTTTAAAATGTAATATTATACAAGTGTTTTCCATATTGCCTCATCGTTGTCATAACGATTATTTTTGATGACTCTATGTTATTTCCTCAAGAGGGGACGTACCTTCATGTTTATAGACACCCTCCCCTATTGTGGCACATTGGGGTCCTCATGTTTTTGTCACCCATAGGAGTCCTTCATATAACGGCCCCGACCCTGTCCTGGCTGCCTCCACTCTGACCAGGGACTGGACCGTGATTGGCTCCCATATCCCCCTCTGCTTTCTGGCCTCTTGGAGGTCTGTGTGCAGGACTCCCACGCAGGGGCTGGGGAGCAGCTTATATTTCCTGTTAAACTTGACCAAGGAAGTTATTTGCTGTTGTAGTGTTGGCAAACACGGGCCATTGAGAAGGTCTCAGGATGCATCCTCCCTTAAATCCAGGGATCTGCTATATTCCTACCCAGAGGCACGGTGTGGCCTCCCAGGGGTTCCAGTTTTCCGTTTTCTTTTAAGTAAGATTTATTGCTTCTTTACACTTCGTGCTAACTTTGTTTCCGTGGTACTTGAAATTGTTTTGATGCTGTTATGAATAGTACCTTTTAATGTTGTTTAATGTTTTCTGACTTGTTTTGTTACTCTATTGAAATATTATTCACTTTTAACACTCCTCTGAGCTTCACTGAAATTTTACTAATTGTAATAGTTATTCAATGAATAATTCATGAATACATAATACTGGTTTTCTTTCCTATTTTTTCAACACATTTTTCTTATTTGGTTCCACGCCTTATTGCATTAGCTTGAATTCTTAAATTATTTAATTTTATGAAATTGACTCTAGTATTTCACTGTTGGCAGCTGGTTTACGAAAGCCACTCTTCATCCTGATAAGGCAGTATGTTCTATTCCTATATTTAATTATTTTTATTAGGGTTAGGTGCTGAATTTCCAGATGACCATAATTTTCGTTTTTTATTTATCCCATGAATATATTATGTGCATAAATTTCCATGTATCGAATTATCCTTATAGTCCATGAAAACCCCAACTTGATCATTGCAGATTTTTGTATCAATATGTTATATAGATTTATATTCTCTAGTACTGTATTCAATATGTTATCTTAGAGTCATAAATGATATTCAGCTATAGTTTTCTTTCACTGTAATCAAGCTTTATTATTAGCGTTATATTTGCTTCGTAGAATACACTCAATAGCATACTGTGATTTCTGTTTCTGGGACAATTTATATGACATAAGAATTGCCTGTTTTCTGAAGGCTTAAAAGAACTTGCAGCTTTCCATATGTTTGCCTCATCTTCATGGGATGCTTCTGATTTTTTAAAGTTTTTAATGTGATGAATGAACATGACTCCATTTCCCTTCCCCACACCTGAAACGTGGCTCTCCCACCTCTCCCCCACGCCTATTCTTTTTTGAAGAGTTAAGAAGTAACAACAGGGCCGGCCCCGTGGCTTAGTGGTTAAGTGCGCGCACTCCGCTACTGGCGAGCCGGGTTCGGATCCCGGGCGCACACAGACGCACCGCTTCTCCGGCCATGCTGAGGCCGCGTCCCACATA